TTTTTTTTTTTTTTTAAAAAAAAAAAAAAAAAAAAAAAATTTGAAGAAAGGATTATTTTTTCCTATCTTTATTATTTTTTTTTTTGTTTAGAATCACCCGGTATTCGGAAACCCATTGAGTCACTGACTAATCCAAATTCGAACCAAACAGAACCTAATGGGTAGCAAAGCTTTCCTTCACAAGTTTTAACGGAATTACATTCCCAAAACTTGAAACTAAAACCTTTGATTAAGTTGAAAAATCCTTTGTCAACTCATTCACCCACTTGTGGGTTTTCCTATCTTTATTATATATACACATGTTCTTTATATAAATTTATATAATAAAATATTTCTAAGTATAAAATTAATTAATTTAAATATATATAATCAATTATAATGTGAACATAATATTCTAACATATATTCTAACATAAATGCTAATATTTTAAAATAAATATTGATATTCTAACAATATGAAACACTTGAAGTTCCCTGGGAAAAGTAAGTGGATAAGCATCAACGGGCAATTCAACACACCATTGGAGCCCGGAACGTCATAGAGGAGCTCCTCAAAGCAACGGAATGGTGGATGGAGTGCATCACCAAACTGCTCAAGGGTAACATCCGCATCAGCCTCAATAAACATGACACCTTCTCCCGTGCAGTCCACAATAAGTTTGCGATCAGGCCCCACCGTAAGTCTACCGGCAAATGGATAGTAAAAAACTAGGGCTTTTGCTAATGCCTCCCTAATAACCTTGACAGGATCCTTCCCTTCCATGGAGTGTGTGTGGATACCATTGAATTACCGGAATTTGAAAACGAAGACTTTCTTGGTCGTTAATATATGAGAGTGGTTTTACTCTCGATAGGTGGCCTTTGCGGAAGCCATTAGCTCTGGGTTCACGCCTTCAGACTGTGAATACTAAGGAATTTGTAGGTGCCATGGGAATGCACGTATTTCAGTTTGAGAGAAGTGGTGAAAATGATAATAAGTAGTGCTGGGAATTCTTTCTGTCGGCAATACACATAGAGATTAGTAGGGAAGTGGGCCTGTTTCTTTGCGGCCATACACGCGCTAAATTTGTGGTAGATTAGTGTTTCATCAAGTTTTACACATGTTTTTTTTTTTTTTTTTTTTTTTT